CCAACAAATGAAGAATATCCCTGATCCTTAAGGCATACAATATAAGGATCCTAGCAAAAAACTCAAGACGATGCCTTAAATAGGGATATGGAGGTCTGGGAACCCTGAAGCTCCTGGACAAGGGAAGGAGCTCGCTACCAGCCCTCATTCGGAGTGTGTCTGTCTCTTTGGGGAGGGTTTAGGGCTTAGGGGTTTAGGGTTTAGGGTTTAGGGTGTTTAGGGCTTAGGGCTTCGGGTTAGGGCTTGGGGGAATTGGGGGTTTGGGTTGGGGGGCTAAGAGTCGTTGGCTTGGAGGTTTTTGTTGTGGGGATTACAGGGGATAGCGGCTTGCTGTGGCCAAGCAACTCTGGGTGCAACAGGAACAAAGCAAGAGTTCAGGCTTTCGGGTTTCAGGATTACTTCGTGGCCCTACTGGGATGCCAACCGCTGTATAAATAGAGCTAGTTGCAAGGACAGTGTTTCCATGGTAATTTACGAAGCAGCAAAACCAACGTCTTATGTTCGGTCGCACTTCGAGAAGTGACCATATCCCGCATCTTACTTCCCCAATATCCAAAGGAATTCACGGCAAAAACTTCAGAATGCAACAAAATGATAAGAGTCCGAAACTGTTGAAGGCTAGGTGCTAAGCTACAACACACTGCAAGCGAGCATGCTGCGACCTCTCTGCCATGCCTCTCCATCATCCTAGCCTGCACCTACGCCCTAAACTAGAGCCCATACCCTACTAAACCCTAAACCCCTAAACCCCATTCCTTATACCCTCAGCCCTGAACGCTAATCCTTCTACTCTCAACAGCTTGCAATCTCCGTTCGCAACTTGGAGAATCACGGTCAGTTATAAGTACGGATATAAGTAGGATAGCTATAGCAATAACCCATTTTACAGGCTTATAACTACCAATGAACCTCGAAGTATGAGCCCTTATAGATCCCCGAAAGGAACCTTCTAACTACCCGTGAACCTCCAAGAAACCCATTGGCTATACCCAAAAAATCGAATCCCAGGCCGTGGGCCAAGGGGCAAAAGCTCACAGAACACTCGACTCTAAACAATGGTAACGGTTTATGTAGACCAATACCAATAGTACCATCAGCAATAACAACAAAAACAGTAATAACAACACAGCAAGCGTAATCATCTTAATAACTGTAACACTCGTAATAATGGTAAGAATAATCATTAGTAATAAGAGGCACATACTCCAACCGTCCGACGACGGTGTGGTCCTCTAGCTTCCGGAAAACTCCTCGTGGTCAGAGGCAATCATACGGGCTCAGGCTGGCGACTTCCAGATTGCCCCATCTTTGCACATAGGCTGCACGCCAAGGAACAGCCGTTCTGCAAGCGGTTAAAGGTTCAGGCCTTGACCTTACAGCAGCTGAGCTGACGAGACTGGCGCAGGAATGCGCCGCGTTCACTAGTGCATGGAAGCTGGCACTCCCTAAACCCTAAACCCTAAACCCTGCACGTAGCCAAGTGTTTTGGAGAACCTGGAGTCTTTCCGTCACAGTCGGCAAAGTGCCTTCTTGCTTCAACTCATTGTGATATGAAGCATGTTCCCAATGAAACGCCACATCTGCGTGAGCTTTCTGATCGTATGCAGTGTTTCCGCACCTCGAGGATTTTCCGAAAGACTTCTTTCAGGGAAAGATGTGGGCATTCAAGTGTCGAGGTACTCCAGTGATTGTTGCTGCTGATTCCTCATGACAAAACGTGGAGAGCTTCAACAGAACAGACACGGAACCCCCAAAGAGCATAAACTCTAAACCCGCAGGGCTCTAAACAGTTTCGGACTTCTTCGGGCTTGGGGTTTAACATATCGGAGCTTTGGACTCTAAGGGTTCTTTGAAGCGGAGCTGCATCAGTGGTTCTACTAGAATCTGGAGTTCTTTCTGTCTGTCAGAGTTCTAGGTGTGTTGGCTACTTGGATCTTTGTGGCTTCTGCCCATGGAAAAGGTCACCAATCTTCAGGAGAATGCTGAAGCACCATGCGCAAAATGTAAACACACCGAGACCCATCAAGCCTTACACGGCATATCCTAAGCCCTAAGCCCCCCAAACCCCTAGTAACTTGAGACCTGCAGCGGGCAAACCCTCGACCGAGCCCTGGATAGTTCCAAACCAGAACATCAGTGTGCGCCTCCTCGTCGGAGGAGTCATCGGACTCGCTGGGGATGGTATCGTCAATACCCATGTCGGCCTTCAGAGTGCTGATTCCGATCAAAACGTAACTAAGAAACCAGCCAAGCAACCAAGCAACCAACCGACCGATCAAGCAAGCAACCAAGCAACCAAGCTAGCATCCAAGCAAACAAGCAAGCAAGCAAGCAAGCAAGCAAGCAAGCAAGCAAGCAAGCAAGCAAGCAAGCAAGCAAGCAAGCAAGCAAGCAAGCAAGCAAGCAAGCAAGCAAGCAACAAATCAACCCACCGACCAACTGGCCAACCGACCAACCCACAGATCAACTGGCCAACCGACCGACCGACAGACCAACCGACCGTGTACACATAGTAGTGCACATCACCTTAAAACACATAAACGCAGACATGCAAACATGCTACCACACTTACATGCATACGTGTACGGACATGCATATTTACATGCTTACGTACCAACAGAAACACATGCACAAATATGTATATGCATTCCTACGTACCTACATACCGTCAGATGTGTGCATCTATGTGCGTCTGTATGCATGCATGGATGTATCATGTACAGGTGTATGCATGTATGTATGTATGT